TCAAATGCCACTAGCTTGCCAATGACAATGCCCGGGGTCATGGTGCTCAAGTTCTCCATGTTGTGAAGGATGGTGATGATGCTTGCATATTTCTTTTGTGGTAGAACGGAGATGATCTTCCTCACGATGTCCGCATCATCTAGCTTTAATAATCCTATTGAATGGAGCTCATTGATAATTAGATTCAATCGAGAATATATATCACGAACAAGCTCATCATCATTCATAGCAAAGGAATCATAATTTTGCTTAGCTAGACAATGTTTTTGCTCACGGACATTACTTGTACCGTCATGGAGCTCTTCAAGTTTTAACCAAATTTCATGTGCCGTATTTAAGGTGAACACTTGGTTAAACACATCCATGCTAAATGATTCAAACAAGCAATTCTTAGCTCTAGCATTAAAATGCATTTCTTTTTCATCACTCTTTGTGGGTTTTTTGGGATTCTTGATGGGTTTCATCCCGTCACGAGTGACTCTCCATACACCCAAATCAACCGCCTCAAGCTGGCAAACCATTCTAGCTTTATAGTATGGAAAGTTAGTGCCGTCAAATTGTGGAGGCCTAGCGGTATCCATCCCCACCACTCTACAATAGCGTCGGCTCAACGGCGGTTAAGCCAAAGGTCCAAATATGAGCCAACCGGCTCTGATACCACTTGAAGGACACTTGAAGGACACATGGACACCTAAGAGGGGGGGTGAATTAGGCAACTTAAAAATCTAACTCTAAGCTATGGCCTCTTTTTCTACCTCTATCAAAACCTATGCAAAAGATAATCTATCTAGATGTGCAACTACGGTTTTGCTAGTGTGTTGCTATCTCTACCGCAAATGATAATAATATGATCAATATAAATGCGGAAGCTTAAAGAGCAAGGTAGAGATATGCAAACTCCCGTCGACGACTCCGGTATTTTTATCGAGGTATCGAGAAGCGCATAAGCTTCCCCTAGTCCTCGTTGGAGCCCTACAAGAGAATCCCTCGCAAGGGCCAAGCTCCCGGTCGGGTAACTCCGTGGATAGCCTCGGGCCTTCCCCACGCATAAAGTGGGTCTCCGATGTGCCTTCCAAGCAAGCCTCTCCGGATGCTCTCCGCCGTCTTCACTATCAAGCTTTCGGCCAAAGCGCCGTGGGACTTGTTCCCTTGATTTTGCGGTGGCGGCCGCACCACCACAAACGCGGTTGGTGCGATCTCGCAAGACTTCAAGCCCCTCCGATGTACAACTCTTGTGCTCGCAAAAGCACGGGTGGCAAGAGGTATGCAAACCTCACTAAACACTAGGCATACACCAAGAGCAAGCGCATAAGCGGTGGTCTAATCAACCTAAGCACTTCGCAAAGCACCTACACTAATCACCTGATGAAACACTAAGCACTATGCAAGTGGAGATCACTAGAATGGTGTATCCACACCTTTGGTATGTTTCCTCAGGTCCACTTTTTTCAAATGGCCTGTTGGGGTTGTATTTATAAGCCCCATCGAGAAAGTAACCGTTGGGGTTGAACTCCCGCTGAATCGCTCTTGGCCGGACGACGAATCGTCTGACCGGACGCGCGTCCGGTCGTCCCGACTGCTAGTAGCCGCTGAACTACCGATCGAGCGCTGCCGGCGTCGTCGCTTCCGCCACCGGACGCGTCCGGTCGCGATTCAGCGCTGAACCTCTCTGACTCGATCGGACGCCGCGTTCCTGCGTCCGGTCGGTTCCGCCAGCGTCCGGTCGCTTTCTGCGCGAGCTACGGTCCAGCGTCGGTCAAGCGCTTCCAGCGTCCGTCCGGCCCCGGTCTAGCGCCTCTGCGATCGCCTCTTTGCGTGATTCTTGCGCGCGCTTGGTTCCTATCTTCATGCTTGGACTTTGCTTGACATCTTGGGTCTTTTCTTGTGCTTCTAAGGTCTTGCTTGAGGTGTTGATCATCAGATCATCATGTCGCCTTCGTCCAAGTCACGTCTTGCACCCTATTGGACTACAAAACAAACACTTGCAAATTCATTAGTCCAATTTGGTTGTGTTGGTCATCAAACACCAAAATCCAAAGTAAATGGGTCAAGGGTCCATTTTCCTTACAGCTACTAACCCCTCGGACCTGACCCCCAAATATACTGGCTCACCGTCGGCGGTGAGCAAAACACTGATTTGTCGGTCGGCATTGCTCGCCCGGGCTTGAGGAGGATGGGGTGCCTAATTAACTTCCTATACTACTCACGGCACGAGGAATTGGACTGGGAAGCCCGAGCTACCGATTTTGAAAGGAAGGAATGGTGTGCTGTCGCTACTACGTTGTGGACAATGGCCTCAACTTTACGTGGCCCGGCCAAGACTTGACGAGGGCACAGCCGCGTGGGGACATGGTCGTGGAGGCGGTAACATAGGCGCGTCGTTTAGCGAGGGGATAAGGATGAGAATGGGACAGACAAGAGCGCTAGACACAGTGTGCGTCTTAGAGACAACAGCGCGTGGGCGGTAGGGCAGTGGTGGCGAGATAGCAGCGCTATGAAATAGCCGAGGCAGGTAGTGACTCGATGAGTAGGTGGATTGAACGGCGAGACGAGCGCCATGACGGCCAGACGACGACTACTGCACAGCGTCGGCAGCCCTGGCCTGCTATGCACGGCTGGCCGGTAGAAGCCTGACGCTGCGACCACCACAATGACACTCTGACTCGGCTGGCCCCCAATGGAAGGTGATCGTGGCGGCGGCCGACGAGGCAACGGCCACGGCCAGGCAGCAGCAACGTACTCGCGTGGTGACTGCGAACCCAGGGCGAACAACTGCAAATGGTGACGTGCACGCGTTTTTAAGCGAAGCAAAGGATGTCGATCATCTGAACCGAAGTTCAACCAATCCTACTAACCTAAAGTCAACACTACTAGCTAGCTAGCGGAGTAATCGTCATGACCGAGAGCAACCAGAGAGGGAGATAAAAGGATGCCAACTTGGGTTCGTCGCTGGAGTGCCCGTTCACGAACAGAGCGCCAATAACATGGTTTACAGTGCGTTCCAACGAAGTTTGTGCAAGTTTTACGAGAGCCACGTGACACCCAACATAACAACCACCTATGCCATGCTCAAGTACTCACTTAGATGCAATCAACAATACCAAAGCATGCCGCTAGTGTTTAAACATTTTAGATAGAATTTAAATGTCAAGATAGAATTGTCTTACTACTTTTCCCATACTTAGAAGAGTTAAGGTTTAATTCGAACTAACAACCATTAACACTTTTGTTATAATTTTTAAAAGGCCTAAACCCTATTAATTGCTACCAACAAGTATTTCATGCAATGGTCCATACTTCATACTAACACATAGGAACAAAATATTTACGCATTAATTAATCATTTCACCCACAATAAATCGCTAAAAATAGTACTTCAAACATAAGTTCAAGTAGTTGACGTCTTAACGAAAAGAGCTTATCTTAACTTTAAATTTGATTTTTGAGCTCCCCAGAGTACTAGTTAACAACATTTGTTTTCACAAATTAAAGTTCATCTTCAACTACACCACTTGCTCGTCATCTTTATATAAGTATTACACACAAGTTATATTTTATTTTTTGTTTATATAAATCATTTCTCGTGCCAAACAATTAAAACGACCTATCCTATGTTTCTCGTTAGGATTTTCATTAGCACTTTTACGCACCAATTAAGTTAACTTGGATATTTATGTGAGTCCACAAAAGTGAGTCATATAGGATCCGCTTATCATTTCACGTGTGTTATAAATTTTTAAAACCCGAAAACTTGTTAGGTTAATCTCTCTCGTACCTAAATCTCGGTGCTAAGCAAGCTTGTAACCATCAGGGGTGTTACACATATACTATTACTTTTAGACTATGTTGGAAATTCAAATCCTCTTAGAATCGATTCTCCTGTTCTGCTGTACTACTTCAGTAGTACTTTTGAGCGAACGAATATTATTTTGCTTTCACAACAAATCAGCATAAGCCAAATTTCAGCGAAACGAACAGGCCCATAACTTTTTCGAGGATGGGAAATCTACGGGGACATCATTTAAATAACATATTTAGTTATTCATAGAGGGTTTTTCATCCCTGGATGTGCCTTCCTCTTGCTTCCAAATTATCCCCTACCAAAAAAAATTAAAGCGACGTATAATTTGAAACGGAGGAAGTAGGTATTAGTAAAATTTGTTAAGACTCTCCTCAAGGAATTAAAGTCATCATAGCATACATAAGTTTCGAGACAACCTAAGTAAAGTCATCTTCCGTGTTTTATCATTTTTACATAATTGAAAGGCTTAGGGCAAGGCAAAGGATGTGAAAAAAGTCAGCAAAATCATGGAGATCGTCTTTAGAGTGAATGAGGACTTTAAACCTCCAATTGTTATAACCTCAAACATTAGCGAGATTTGAGTTATTATAGATCTTGTTAATCCTTTCATGGGTGTCCTGTGAGCTCTTCTGTGATTTTTTTTCACAAAACAGTGACGTTGCTTTCTTAAAAGCAGAGGATACATTTTTTTAAAAAAAAGCTACTGTTACTACATTCTGTTGGTAACCGGATAACTCACCATGGATATACTCCTCCCAACCCAGGTGACCTGTTTGTCCATAGCAAACTGCCACGTACCAAACCCTTTTGTGGAGCAGCGTTTCACCGTGTGAGCATAGCAATTTCACCCACCATATAAGGGGTCATCACTCCTCGCAACCCCACAAACCCCAAATCTTCAGCCCCACATTAACAAATCACGCAAAGATTCCCCTGCCATCATCACCAGAATTTAGGGCCTCCTTCTTCCTCCCCGTGCCCACCTCTCCTCCCCCTTTTTTCCCCACTAGCCCACACCCACAACCAACAAAAATTCACTCCGCTCCACCACGCACCTGACTCACGGTCGCAGTCTCACCCCCCCCCGCTGCTTTGACTTTGACTACCCCTCTTTCTCCCCCATCCTCACTCCCCCTACTCCACTCTAAACCCTGCGCTAAACCTTGGCAAGGGTAGGGGTAGGGTACGTTCGCTATCGATGGGGAACTGCGCCGCCTCCCGCCTTGCCGGCGGCGGCGGCGGCGGCGACGGTGAGGACCCCGTGGCTGTGTGCCGCGACCGGAAGCGCCTCATCAAGGCGGCGGCCGAGCGCCGGTTTGCGCTGGGCGGCGCGCACGCCGCTTACGCGGCGGCGCTCCGTTCCGTTGCCGACGCACTCGACGTCTTCGTCGCGCGCCACACCGCGCCGGCGCCGATCCTCATCACGCTCCCCACCCCCAGCAGCTCGCCCCCGGGTTCCCCCAAGCCAGCGCAGGTTCAAGTGCAGGGGCTTCCCTCTCCCGCCACGTCGCCGCCTCCGCAGCAGGAGGAGGGGGCCGAGGAGGAGGCGCCGGCATCACCGGCCGCCGCGGAAGATGGGGGCGGCGGCGTGCAGACGCCGGAGATGGGCTGCCCGTACTACTACCCATCCCCAGCGACGCCGCCCCCGCCCCCTGCGGCATCGGCGGTCGGCGGGTGGGACTTCTTTAACCCGTTCTACGGGACGGAAGAGGTGGCCGCGGCCATCAGCGACGAGGAGATGCGAGCGGTGAGGGAGCGAGAGGGCATCCCCGAACTGGAGGAGGCGGAGGAGGAAGAGGAGGGAGCGAAGGCGGTGGAAATCAAGCCCCCAAAGGCAGAGGCCTCTCTTGGAGTCTTAACGCCCCAAGAAGAGGCTAAAGATGTGTGCGAGATGGCGGCGAACAACGGCGGGCTGGAGGTGGCCGTGGCGCCGCAGGGGCGCGAGCTGCTCGCGGCGCTCAAGGAGGTGGAGGAGCTCTTCGCGGCCGCCGCCGAGGCAGGCAAGGAGGTGTCTGGCATGCTCGAAGCCGCCACGCGCATCCCCGAGCTCAAAGGTCCGGCCTTTACCGCGCTCCATTCCTTTGCTTTTCCTCCAGCGATTTGGCACTCTCGTTGTAGCTTGCTCGATCTATGCTACAAATGGTGCCGCAATGGTCAAATCCCTTTTGCTGTTTCTGGAAATCGCAGTAAAGCTGCGAGTTTTGAGTCGTTTGGACGAATATGTTATCCAAGGAAGCGGGAAGCCCTTTTGTTATTCCTAGTTGGGTGAAACCTTTTTTATTATATACTCAAATCAGTAGTTGAGAACTCACGAGTCCGGATGGCATGGAATGAGATTACTGTTCTTATTTTAGGACCCCCTGCACCTCTGGAGTTTAGACAGACCGTATGTCTTTTAAAAGTGCCTTTAAATATTCCTGGCTGATGTAATAGCCGTCCAGTGTCAATTTGTTATCATCTTTTCTGCTTTGCAGTCATTTCATGGGTCATTTTGCATAGCTAGTTCGATGCTAGTACTTGCTGTGCTCCATTGCAAAAGCGATCCTTTTGGGCTGCAAAAGGCTAAAGCTGTGCTGCTTGATGACGAGCATCATGAGTCTGTACTGTTGCGAAGATAGAACAATAGTAGGAGTGTAAAAAGCTCTTGGAGTCTTGGTTTTGTTGGTACCGGCAATCCATGTCCATAGTTACCACTTTATCAGTTGATAGTATATTTCTAATCCCTTCGAATAATCATATTAACTCTACAATTTGTATCCTGGTGCAGAAAATTCATCAAAAATAATTCATGCCATCACATGGCATCGGTCTCCGTCATCGGTATCCTCATCGTACAGGAGCGAGCTAGGAGCAAGCTCAAATAGTTTGTCATGGACAGACAAGAGTGAAACTAAGAGTGATATATTCGAAGACTATGGTGGAATGAAGTCAGGAAGTCATTCACAGACTTTGGGGAGACTGTATGCTTGGGAGAAGAAACTTTATGAAGAAGTCAAGGTGGGTTTTGTTCATTGTTCTTGAATTTTCACAAGTTCTTGGTCACTGCATATGTTGGACTCCTTTGACAATTGATTTGGTAGCATAATTATTGGAATGCCATTATTCTCTGAATGAGTAGCCACACCTCTTTCGACCTGTCCAGCTACTGATTGTTTGAGCCAGGGGATATGTTATGTGATGTCTCCTTATAGAAACCCATATTGATCTGATATTTTCTGAAATTGAGAGCACATGCTTTATTTTCTCAATACTTCATGAGTAGTATGTGTTTCTTATGACCATTTATAACTTGATCTTTTCCCTCACTGCTGAGCAGTCATCCTAGGGTGGTCCAACAAGCTAATCTGTTGTCCTGTCTGGTATTGATTTCTTGTACATCTGTGTTGACACAATTTGAGCTCAATCCTGTGCAGGCTATAGATCAAATCCGACAAACCTATGAGAAGAAATGTGTTCAGCTGAGGAACCAAGATGCCAAAGGTTCAGAGCTGCGTTGTGCTGAAAAAACTAGGACAACTGTTAGAGACTTGTACACAAGAATCTGGGTTTCTCTACGGGCGGCAGAATCTATATCTGATAGAATACAAAAGTTACGGGATGAGGAACTGCAGCCACAACTCGTTGAGCTGTTGCAGGGGTAAGCTATCCTCCGTTTATGTATAGGACCTGTTGTGTAATTTTCATTTCAATTGGCACTGATGAATTGGCTGCCCTTTTGCAGCTTTACAAAATCTTGGAAAATAATGGTTGACTCACATGAAACCCAGAGACAGATTATGTTTGAGGTGAATTCATTTACATGTCCTGCTTATGGCAAATTCTGTAACGATGCACAGCGTCATGCAACTCTGAAGTTGGAGGTTGAACTGAGGAATTGGAGATCCTGCTTTATTAGCTATTTCAATGCTCAGAAAGCATATATCGAAGCTCTTGATGGCTGGTTATCGAAGTTTATTCTGACCGATACTATCCGGTACTCCCGAGGAATCTCATCAATTGCTCCAGATAGAGCTGGTGCCCCAACTCTAGTTGTGATTTGCCATGACTGGTACACTACAATGTCCAAGTTTCCAAACAAGCGGGTCGCCTTCACCATGAGGAATTTTCTCAGAAGTGTGAGAGTGCTATGGCTGAAGCAAGGGGAAGAGCAACAGCAGAAAAGAAAGGTGGACAGCCTGGCAAAAGAGTTGGACAAGAAGGTAGCTGCCTACAAAAGAGCAGAGAACAGGATCATTGGCACCAAGCTTCTGGAGCATAAGCCTGAGATAGATGCCAAGCAGCGCATGGAACACTTGTCGGAGAAGAAAGAGATGCTCAACGTCCTGAGGAAGAGGATTGAGACAGAGAAAGCGAAGCATCACACCTGTATGCGGGATACACACGATGTCACTCTCAACGGGTTCAAGATCGGCCTCGCCAGCATCTTCGAATCGTTGGCTGAGTTCTCGAAGGATTCGGTGAAGCTCTACGAAGACCTTCTAGCACGAGCCCATGACAAAGATTCAGAGAAGGCTGCTACTGATAAACGGCCCTGCGTCGGGGGGCCATACTCGCACATAGCGGTGGATGCTACATGAGTAACAGTGATCTCCATGTTAGGACCTCCTAGCTAGTTGCATTGCCCCAGTTTTTGGGCCCCTAGAATCTTTGTCTGATTTTAGCCTGTAGGGAGTACCATGTTTGGTTGGTTGGTTGCTGAATGTAGGGTCATTCTTGTGGGCAACTTATGCTTGTAATTATTCTTTTAGCTTGATATCGGTGGGGATTCGCTGTATCTTGGTGCTGCTCTTTCCATGTGATGCCGTTTACCCTGTCAGGTGCCTGGCCATCGCCATGTGCCAATGCGCACTGGGCAGAAAATTCACTGCGCACTGCATTTGTTAACCAATGTGAAAATGTTACAAAACGCCCATCTGATCATCTGATGAGCTACAGAAAATTCACGCTGCCAGCGTGCATACTTCCGTAAGCAGGAACGGTTGTCGGCTTGTCGCTTGCCAGCTCTTACGGGAGGCTATCGTTGAGTTGGACACTGTCATGCAGAGAGGAACGGACGGCCTAGACCGCGCGCCGGCACAAGGGGCAGGAGGCGTGCCGGAGCAGCCAGCCGTCGATGCACGGCAGGTGGAACGTGTGGCGGCACACCGGCAGGCTCCTAGCGCTCTCGCCGGCTTCGAACTCCTGCGGAGGCAAAGATCGTCAAAAGAGACACAAGCACACTGGCTGCGGCCTGCAATCGTGTCGAGATATCTGCAACGCACCAACGGATGGCAGTATTCTATCAGCAGAAACACAGTACCTGGAGGCAAACCGAGCAGGCGATGAGCTCGCCGCTGGCGTCGACGTTGCTGCGCTCGGTGAACCTCACCACGGGGAGCGCGTCGATGGCGACCCTCGCCATGCCGTTGGTGCCGCCCGTGCCGAAGATGTCTGCGTGGTCTCCATGCAAGACCGGTGCCTCCGCTGCACTCATCTGCAGGAACCGACGGAGTGCCATGGAAGTGTAGGTGTGAATTGTGAATGGTGATAGTGGTGCGCGAGCGGTGAGGCCACACGCAGTGTCATGCGCACGCACCTGGCTCTCGACGGCGTTGAGCACGGCGGGGTCCACCTTCTCGCGCACGAGGCGGCCGCTCAGCAAGCTCCAGATCACATCGAGCTACAAACCAAGAGACCAAGGAAGCGTGCGTCAGTACGGGAGGCAGGCGGCCGGCCGGCGAATACGTCTTTGAAACTGGGCGCCGGCCGTCGCAGGCCGCAAAGCGAGAGCGGGCACCGACCACGTAGACGACGCTCCAGATGGCCGGCTCGTCGGAGCACCACAACGCGAGGGACGAGTCGACGACCTCCATGGACACTAGCGCGCCCGTGATGCCGCCGACGCCCGTGCCGCGCAGCACGCCCGTCTCCGTGGCCAGCCCGATCAGCCCGCCGGTGATCGCGCCGAGGACCGTGCCCACTGCCAGTGCCAGCATCGGTCGACGAATGAATCAGCTAAAGCTCAGACGTCGAACGTAGTTTCGCTAACCGACTGACTGACCTGTCGCGAAGACGCAGGTGACGAGGCCGCGGGCGAGGCTCTCGGCGCCCCGGGCGGCCAATGAGCACACGACGGCGCGCGCTCCGGCCGCGGAGAAAGCAGGAGCAGGATGGAACTGGGAGTCGGTAGACGTCGTGTCCGTATCCATGCTTGCGCGATCGATCGATCGACCTCGGGGACCGGAATGGGTGTGGTGAGAAATTTGATGGACGCGGAGGAGGAGACGTGCAATCCGTCGTCGACGACGACCCTAAAAGGGAGGGTGGTGGCGGCGGAGTTCTCAAGGTTAGGTCGGAAAATCTCCCATCCCCTGTTTGTTGACGCAAACGTGTGCGTGCGGGTATTTGACTGCGGCGAGGTGTAGGTCAGGGTAGGCGCGCTCCGCCACGTCCGCCGTGCGCCAATAGCGCACGCACGAGGCATGGCGTCATGGCGCCCGCCGGCGCAACTGCGAGGGCACGAGGAATTGGTGCGTGGTTTATCAGCTATAATACAGTATCTCGTAAAAAATTAGCATCAGCAGTCGACTTATCATCCGCAGAACTATCGACCTGGACCGGGCCATTGCCAGAGCTGATGCTGGAAAAGTCGATCTCCAATGGAAAAGGGCCGGCAGGTGGTTGGCGTTACGAAACGAAACGATGGTGGTGGCTTGTCTCTGTTGCGTTCTCATCCTTCGGCCACTCGCTCTGTACCCGAAAGGAATCGGCTACTCCCTTGTGCTCCCTCCGTACTTGGTTGTTCGGGTGCGTGCCGGCTGCGGAAACTTGTGTGCTGCAATGTTCAATCCCAGTGGGCTACAGGTGAACGGTAACGGAACAAATGTACGAAACCGTCATCTAGAAGACGCTAGTACGTGGCCGGAGAAATGGACCGGTTGTTTTCTTTGTGACAGGCAACCGCGCGTAGAGTACAAAAGTAGAAAGATATATTGTCCATTTGTCATACTGATTGATCCCCAGTTGTTAGTTTAATCAATTCGAGTCATGTGGTTCGGCGTGTTATTACCGGATACGGGCCTGGTCGGCAAAGCGCTTGTTTGGCACATTTTTTTTAAACAGCTTCACAAACAGCTTTTTTTAAGTAAAACTGAGCTGTTTTAGAAAAAATGCTTAACAAAATAACTCCACCAACAACTCACAAGAGAAAGAGCTAGGATAAGCTACTATTTTCAGTTTCATCCCCACTCATGTCTTTATGGAAAGAGTAGAAAAATAACTTGATCCATGAAATTGTTTTTGGAAATGGGTGTTCAAAAAAAAGTCACAACAGCTTCATGTGCCAAACAGGCCTTAGTACGTCCAGTGACCGATGTGGTAAGGTCTCTAGCTCTGTTCGGCTGGTCTATAAGCCGCTGTTTTGATTTGTATGGCTGATTTGTTGTGAGAGAAAAATACTGTATCTATAACTGATAAGCCGGCTTATAATTACAGCCGAACATAGCCAAGCTTCGGTATAACCGTACATGAGTAGTATCTGGGAACAAATTATGGGAGTTCTACCCTATATTTCAGGAGCATGAATTTTCATACAATTGAATTGCAGACAATGAATTACTATCTACTGTAGCTACTACATCAAACAGCCGCAGCCAAAGAAGTTGCTGCGAGCCAATATATATGTCAAATAAGTAGTATCTGGGAACAATGATTTTTATAGTCAAACAATAACAAAACTATATGTTGAGTGAACAACAATTTCATAGCGGAGATGCTCCATATAATCGAATTAGTTGAGTAGAGCTGGAAAACTAGAACGGAACAGTCCCAACAGGCCTCTATAACCTATTATAAACGTCACTTTAACAGTACCTAAAGTGTTATGCATTATAAGCTTTTTTCCCCCCTTATATACAATCCCGCAAGGGGCCGTGGCACCGGTCCATGTGCATAAGAGCACCCGCGGTGGAGGGTCCATAGGCCGGGTCGATGGACATCAGACCTGCATCTATACACTGCAGCATCACCCAGCGTCCATTCATCGAACCGGCTCTCATGAAATAAAATACTTTTTTCTTTCCTATCATCTTCTCTCTCTAGATGAGACAGGTACCTGTTGAGTCCGGTGGGTGGCCGGGTGTAAGCGTGAAAAGGTGGGACTGCCGATATTTTAATATACTATGGGCCCGCTTAAAGATACAACCCCCAGTTCTTTACATTTGTGACCAAATTAACAGGGAACGTCACATCATTTTATAGATACAGGATTGATCTATACACTGCGGATGCTGCACCCGCAGTGTATCGAACCGGCCCTATTCTTAAAATATGATGTGACTCCATCTAGTAAATAAGCCACAGTGTATCGTACCCACCCTGGATCTACATGAGCAGCAATGGCAAGGGAGACAAGAGAGAGTGAGAGAGAGTGCATGATTTCTTTATTCCAAGGAGCCCGGGCCTTATTTAGATTGAAAAAAATTTCAATCCGATGAATAGTAATATTTTCGTCTTATTTGGCCGGATCAACTAAGTTTCGATTTCCAACTAAACTGCATAATTAGATTTTTACCTACATTTAATGCTCCATACAAACGGTTAAAAAGGTTCTCCATCGAAAAACTCGAATTTCGAGGTATCTGTATAGAAACCGGTACTAGATCAGTTGCATCGACTCGAGCTCACAGTGTATAGAAGCCGGTACTATCGTTGCATTTATTGTATAGAACCACTGCGGTCCACGCTCTTAAGAGGGCCTTTTTTTCTAATCTTGGGCCGCTGGGATGTTTAGAATGCGGGCTATCAGGTTAGACACTGGGCCAGGCACCTTGCACGCAGATTTGGGCTGGGAAAAGCTTTGGTCCCTTCTGTCGCCGTATTTTCTAGAGATATTTCCTGGCACGGGAAAAAATGCATCTTCCTTATGGCCTCTTTTTTTAACTTACCGTATGGCTCAAAACGATTTTTTTTTTCTATGGTCTTCCATCCGTTTTTGGTACTGGATGGTGTTAAGTTAAAAGTAAAATGACCATTTTACCCTTGATGAAAAAATAAAATGCATTTTTATTTGTCTACTGTATATTTGAGTAATATGACGTAAATAAGTTCACATATAACAATGCATAATAAGACATATAATCAAGTACACAAATACATTGCAATAAAATGAGCTTATCAAATACATAAAAAATTGCACAAATGCATTGCAATTGACCGTAGTTGACACATAAATGGACGACGTCAGCCTTGAGCGTCTCCTGCATGCACCGATGGATCATGGACGTTGCGCAATGCACGTAAGACTCGATCTAATTAACTGCATGCAGACACGTACGAGCAGCCAGTTGGTGCTTGACTTGACTAGCAACTACCGATGGAGATGGAGTGCAACGCAACTGGCCGCATCACTTGCCTGCAGCTGGAAGGTCAAGGTGGAGGCGCTGCAGCGGCCGCGCTGGAACTGTACGGAGCCGATGTAGTACGTCCCCGGAGACAGCACCATCGTCACCGCGCGCGCCGGCGGACCCGCACGCCGCCTTCCTCGCCGTCATCAGAGGATGCAATGACATTCGATTGTTCAGAGATTATCAGAGTCAGCACAGGTCAGGGATATTATGCATGCAAGCTACTCCTATGCAGCAACAGCTAGCGCGACGAGGAAAGGCAACGCGACGCGGACAAGCGAACGGTCGGCGTCGGCAAGGTCGACGTACGTCCGCCGCCGGCATCGGCGCCGGCCTCACCCCAGCGTCCGCCACCACGAGGCCCCCGCGCGCTGCACTAGCCGGGCGGAGGCGCTTCCCCCACGGCGGCCAGTGATGGGAGTGGTGCCGGGCGGAGGTGGATCCGGGGCCGGAGATCCCGGCGGCGGCGCCCTCCCCATTCTCTCTTCTTTTTTCTCTTTCACCCGCTCGGTCTCGAAGTCGCGATTTCCGCCCGCTCGATCGGATGTAGCACAGGCAGAAAGAGCACAAGGACAATTTAGATATTTCGTGTATCTACGAGTGGGAAAGCAAACATAATACTATAACAAGGAAATTTCGTTTCGAGGCCATACAGATAAGTTAAAACAAAATCATAAAAGAAAGATGCATTTTTTCTAAATATCTCTATTTTCTATCTCTCAGGTATTTTTTTCTTCATTCAAGAGAGATCTGATGTGTTTCTGTCGTGTAATCTTGGAACAATAAATAGTAATCTCTCGAAACGGGAAGTGACGAAAGTGTGAAAACGTAGGATTTACGTACGAAGCACTACTACATTGTTGAGGGTTTTCACCTTTTGCCGTTGTCTTTTTTCAGCAGGAGTAATCAGGCGCCGTCGAATGCCTGTCCCATTTCAGAATCACATGGATGCAGTGACAGCCAACCTTTTTCAGTGTAAGTCCTTTTAGTTCGTGAAATTTGGATTTTAGTGTTACTGTAGCATATTCGTTTTTATTTGACAAATATTGTTTAAACATGGACTAATTAGGCTCAAAACGTTCGTCTCGCAATTTCCCACCAAACTGTGTAATTAGTTTTTCTTTTCGTCTACATTTAATACTCCAAGCACGGACCGTAAACATTCGATGTGATAGGTACTGTACCAACTTTTTAAAAATTGAGGTGGAACTAAACGAGGGCTAAAAATCCATCGCCCCTGAACTGAACATTTCAGAGGGAGCAGAGGACAAGCGACTCGCCTGACAGCCAGACTCTCTGCTGGATTCGCATCGGCGTGGAGGGGCGAGCCGAGAAACATCCAGCGCGCGACCCGGCCGCGCCGGACGCCCGAACGGCCAAAACCAAAACCGGGGGTCAAAACTGTCGCCCCACGTACTAACGCGACACGGGCCTCTCACTCACGGTCGCTTCCAAAACCTGACAGCGCTGTGGTTCACGCGCGCCGCTGTCGGGCTCGCCGGGCGTCACATGTCGCAAGCCGCTAGCGGTCGCCGCGGTTTTGCCAAGGCGAGATGGCCGGGATCGGCAGCTTTTGCGCCAACGTTGCACCGGCACTGTACCACTACCACGGAGCACAAACTTCGCTTGCGCACAACACGGTCGTCTCGGTCTTACAGCCGCTGCGCAGGTTGCCAGCCAAAATGGCACGCTGCGACGACGCCATCAATCGCGGCGCCGTGGCGCATCCACACGTACCACCACCAGTCCACCACTCACGCATGTACACTGACACGTCGTCGCGCCAGCGCGGGCTATTTGGCGGCGGCGGCCGTCTCGAGCTTGCGCCACCGGGCGTCCCGCACGGCGGCGGCGACCTCGGCCTCGGACCGCCGCGTGGCGACGTCGTCGGCGCACCCAGCGTACAGGTCGGGCGCGACCTGCTGGAGCAGGGACTTGACGCTGGCCGTCACCTGCTGCACGCACTTGCTCCAGTGCAGCTCCAGGTTGCTCTCCACGCTCGCCACGAACGCCGGCAGGATCTTCTCCATCACCCCCGGCGACGCCGTCGCCAGCTCCACGAACCGCTCGTTGTTCCACACGTACAGCGCCGTCTCCGCCACCTGAAACAACACAACACGGGTTTGTGTGTCAGCTTGATTCCCACCTGGTGACGCCAGTTGTACCAGAATCCGTGAGGTTCTAAAATTCATTATTGGCGGTGGTGCTATTATGACGACAACGTGAAAGACTGTATTACACGTCGAGAAACCTGGGATCAATAGAGTGAAATCATCACCACCACTTTATAAACAACTGCTCCTTGAAACAATTGACATCACGACTAAAGGTTTCTCAGTAGGAACCACATTTGACATTTCAATAGAGCTGGGACATGAGATGATGCGTAAAAAGGTGTCCTTTTGAAATTGAATTTACACGAACGGCGTACGTGAAGTCGACAAACTAAAGTGACGCCACTTTATAAAGTTACTTTATCGATCAACCGCTATTTCAGTGAAAAGGCTCTTTTTTCCTCCCCACATGTACCCAACTGTCTATGGTGCTGGGCCTGTGTAATGGGGCATGGCGGCATGGGGAAGTGGTGGATCGCTGGAATCTGAATCTCCAACATGCAGGAGTTTTTAGGAAAGTGGCCTGTCTAACGGTATGTTCAGTGATCACATTTCTAGAAACTGATCCAACTCAGTTGCAAAAATATACACACTCGGAAAATGAGTTAATAAAATCTGTGCAAACATATGTAGTCCGTGGCATTGCAACCGGCTTACGCAAGATTTTTTTTATACACGAAAAAAAGAAGCACTGGACAGATTAATAAAACAAGTAGTGCGCCAAAAAGAACCTGAGAGCTGTAGCTACTGACACAGCGGGCGATCCGGGAGCAGATGGGCACGGCGAGCTTCTGGAAGTGCTTGGGCTCGAGCACCTCGAGAATCTCCTCGAGCTCCTCGATGAGCAGCACCTCCTTCTGGCAGTTGGTCACGGGCCAGTGGCGCAGGATGTCCGTGACCACCGCGTCGGCGAGGCCCGGCTCCTTGTGCACGAACTGGAGCACGCAGTAGGCGAGCTGGCGGTGGTACGTGTGCACCCACCGCGTCCGGTGCAGCGGCAGCAGCACGCGCGCCAGGAACGCGCGGTGCTCCTCCTTGAGCGGCACGGCGAAGCCGTTGATGATGCTGCCGCAGATCTCCAGCAGCTCGGCGGCGCCGCAGTGGCGCTCGGCGGCGGGCGCCTCGTAGACGAACCGCAGGAACGCGGCGGCCATGGAGCGCCGCATGAAGGCGCGCTCGCAGGTGAGCTTGGAGTAGAGCTGGTGGTACACGGTCTTGAGCCGGTCGCGCTCCCGGGGGTCCTCGGAGCGGAACAGCGCGAGGAGGGACGAGAGGAAGGCGCGGTCCACGTGGTGGCGCAGCGTCTTGGCGTCCGATGCGGTGACCACGGACAGGAGGATGTCGTACACCACCTGGAGGTGCGGCCACGACGGGGCCAGCACCATCACGTTCGTCTCCTCGTCGACGCCGTCGGGGGGCAGCAGCGCCGGGCACGCCGACGGCGGCATTTCCTGGAATAGGTTGGCGCCGACCATCTTCACAAGCGACACCATCACGCGGTGGTCCAGCGGCTGCTGATTGCTGCCCCCGCCGCTCCCGCTCGACCGGACGGCGCTCAGCACCTCGACAAGCCGCTCCCGCTTCGCGTCCCGCTCCTCCTCGCACTCGTCGCCCGCGTCGTCGGCGAACGTGAACACGCGGTTGCACGAGGCGATCTTGTCGATGAGGCTGTCCGCCTCGGGCTCCGGAGACGGCGGTGGCAGCTTGGCCGTGCCGGGGAGCACGCCGTCCGGCTTCTCGAGCTCGAACAGGAACTTGAGCGTGGTCGACCTCCTCTTGGCTGACGGCGGCCTCGGCGCCACCACCTCCGCCGCGGCAGCGCCCATACCTTTTCGCTGGTGTTGGGCCTTGGCAGAGACAAGGTCACGGGAGAACAGCTCGCTCACTCACAAGTCAAGTGGCCGGGAAGGTGCGCGCGCGGGTGAAGCTTAAGAGAGCGCAAGCACGGAAGACGCCAAACGGGGCGATGCCTTCGTGGAAGCGGCTGCGCTTGGAAACGCCGCGCGTTGGAGCCTCGGAGGGGACGGCAGACGCCACGCTTGGGCTTCGTCGGCTGATGGCTTTGGTCCCGGCCGCCGCGCCCGCACCGCACAAGGCACAACGGCACAACAAGGGAGGGTCGGATGTGCTGATGTGCCTGGCACGGCTCGGCATCTCCGGGGCCTTATAGGCGGGAGACGAAAACAATGCAGGTGGCTGGAGCCTAGCGCCTGGACGCGTCCGGATTTGGGTCGCTGTGGTCCTGTTATTACTCCAAGTAAACAGACGGTAGTAAAACCGTGAAAGTGAACTACGTTGCAATCCAATTTTGACTGTCATCGAGCAATCTTTTGGTCCTATTTGGAAAACATATTTTTTTTTTTAATTTGCGAATGATTTGAAAAGCGAGCTGAAGAAACTAACAATCGATGAGAAAGGGAAACACGAACTTACGCTATTGCTAATGCGATCATTACGACACCTAGCATAGCAAGCCACCTGCGCTGGTTGCAGTAAACAAAAGCCTCCAACATATAAAAAGATGATTGCGGCAACCAACTCCAGGGTTAATCTAGCAGGGGCACAGAACAGAACCAATCAGGCAATGAGATCTGAGAAGAAGCTGGACGGAGAAAAGGTAGAGGTTCACATGCAGCCGATACAAGATTCCGGTCAAGTTTCTCAAGGAGACTCAGACTCGTTTCGTGCAAACACCTCCGGGTGTCAGGTTGCGGTTGATGCCTCACAGTTCCGCCGGGAAGCTTACAAAGCCAAAGATGCCCTGCTGCCATGTGCAGCTCGAAAGCTAGCAAAGTGTAGGCTAGGAACGGATATGTGCATCTAATCGAAGGGTGTACCAGAGCATGCATTGCACCGGCCGAACAAAGTGCACCGACCATTTGGTACTGCTAGGCAGCGGATCGGACAACAGAAAAGCTCATTAAAACATATTAGATGGAGTTAAGCATGCAGTCCTAAAAGCTACAGAAAAAAGCGAGGTTGCAACATAAACGCCGCAAAAAGTGCCGGCGTATGATTATTTGTGTTGTCCTTTTGTGTAGATCACATGATTATTTGTGTTGCTACTTGCTACAGTTTGACGCTAACGTGGTAAACAGGAATTACAGGTTCTTTAGAGATGATGCTGGAACAGTGGGGTATGCAAAAAGAGCATATAAAGTTCAGTTATTCCTGTATCAGAGCAATCACTGCACTCCAGGTAAGTACTGAAAGATCATAAAAAGTTGGCAGATCAAAAATTCAAAATCGACCCCTGTTAAAATTTTTAGTAAGCAGCAGCAGACGTAAGTCTATGATAACCTTACTTCAATGACAGAAAATCAGAAACATAAGCCGATTAGCAGGTACCCTACCCAAATGCAAATGCCTACTAAATAAAAAAGCAAGCTAAACAAGCAGATAAAGAATTCATCAGGTCGGGTACGCAGGAAGACACTTTGTTGGTAGTTCAGTAACAAATACGTGAAACCAGAAAACATACCGACTTTTCAAGCTGAAGATTGATCGTATATGGAATCCAGTCGGTCTATGAATTTAATATGCGCAGCTACTCGGTCATAGGACATACTGAGTATAACTGTATAAGTAAGGTTCTCATGCTATTCAATCAAGCATTCATTTTGAAGCAGTTCAAATCATGTGAAGCGAGGACTGCTGGTCCTACGTACCATCTTAGCACCTCTATCAGAATGAATGCCCGCCATAAATCTTCAAAAATGCTAACCACTATAAGATTGCAACATCCAAACCTAAAATGTCCCGTAAAGCTCAAACAATTTGACAGGTACACATCTACCTAAAAAGTGCAGTACAGTACAATTTCCCAAACCTAATTTCAGAACAAAGGAAATTAGAGCCCAACAGGCAGGGTCCAAAAACTAAAGCCAAGATCTCTTCTGGTGCTTTGTGGTACCAGAACTGGCAACCTAATGTAGTCTCAGGAATAGTTGACTACAAGAGGTTATGACTTATAAGATCCAGCTTTTCCTCGCCTGACTCTATACCACTGATGGGCAATCACGACGGTGAACACCCTAAGGCCCTACTTATGTTTCCAAAAAAAAAACTTCAAACATTAAAAGCGAATTCAATAGGGGATCCTTTGCTTGTAAACTTCCTAGCCTAAACCTAAGACTCAGCTTCAAAAGTTTAGGCCAGAAATGGTCACCTCCACCATTAATCAACTTCGCTGAACAGCTAAGCTAGTGTCCCAAGAACTCCACGTTACTTGTAGCACTCAAAATTTGACCCACATACATCTAACTCAATGAATTTTACTCAGGAAGCTTTATTTGGGCACAACACATAAGAAAAGATACCTTTTATGTGCGACTACACTTCCGTAACAATCTAGCACATGAAAATCAGCAAGCAGATAGTGTGCTCCACAATGCATCATTAGCAGGGTGGCTAATAAAACCCCGATCAACCATCAGTTCAACAAGATCTTCGTGCTTCTTGAGCTGTCCAGCCTTTCTCAAAAGGACCAATACCATATCACGCACCTGCTTTGAAGGTTTAAAGGATTTCTCCTCGATCATTTCCTTTAGCGTAGCATGTGCACGCTTCCAGTTTCCCCTCCCACAGAATGCCTCGATCAGAGCCGCATAGGTGTGCATGTTTGGCTCTATTCCTTCCGCATCCATGTTCTTCTTCATCCTTAGAACCATATCCATTGACTTCTCCTTATTGAACAACCTTAGAAGGCAGTTATATGTCACGACATTTGGCCTGCATTGCAGCTCCCTCATTTTCTCATACAACTTATGTGCAGCACCTATGTTGCCAAGCACAAGTAACAGCCTGAACATGGGATTGAACGTGTGGCAGTCAGGAATACACTTTTTTGCTGTCATTTTGTCAAGCACCTTCAGCGCTGCATCAAGATTGCCCTGCCCCTTCCCACAATGAGTCTCGATCAAGAAATTGTATGTGATAATGTCTGGCTCACACCGAAGCTGGTGCATCTGGTTATGCACCTGCAGCACCTGCTCAGAACGGCCAGCCTTGACATGCGCCCGCATGATAGCATTGAACGTCGCTGTGTTTGGGGGGCACCCAGAATCGATCATCTGGCACAGGAGCTCCTGCGCACGGGGAACCTGCCCCGCACGATACATTGCATCAATCACAGCAGTGTAAGTATACACATTCGGCATGATCCCTGCCTGCTGCATTTCGGCGAACACGCGCTCCGCCTCATCGAGCCTCCCGGCGCGGCACCACGCGTGGACCACGGCTGTGTAGAGCACAACATCCGGTGTGAAGACAGTACTGCAACTGTCGAACAGCGCCTGCGCCTCACTGGCAAGGCGCTTCTTGGAGAGAGCAGCCAGGAGGGATGCCAGTGTGGCAGGCTCCGGAGCCCCGGCGCCGTACTCCTCCATGCTGCGGAACAGGTCTGCGGCCTCCGATGGCATCTTCGCTCGGACATAGCGGCGGATCAAGGCCAGGATGAGCCGCGATGAGATGGGGACGGCCCGCTCCCTCATTTCGTCGAGCAGGTGGCGCGCGAGCTGGAAATGGTGGTGCTTGGCGAGCAGGTCTATCATGGAGGCGTAGAGATCGGGGAGGGAGTCGGCGGGAAGGGAAGTGGCGATGTGGTGGAAGAAGGCGACGGCCTCGGGGAGCGGGACGCCGCGGCGGAGCGCGAGGAGGCGGCGGAGGAGGTGGAGCGGGAGGTGAGGCGGAGGCGGGGAAGGCAGCAGGTCGGAGATGGCGGAAGAGAGGGACGGGAGCGGGTCGAACGGCGGGGATACCGGGAGCTCGGCGGTCGGGTTGGCGCGGCGGTGGTCGAGGAGCGCCGCGTGCAGGGCGTCCAGGAGCTTGGTGTCGTCGCGGGTCAGGGGCGGGGGCGAGGGTTCCGTGTCCGTTTGGGCCGGCGGGCTCGGTGCGCCCTCGCAGAGATGGCGCAGAAAGACGATGCGGCCGGTGGCGGAGAGGTGGTGCTTGGGCTTGAGGAAGAGAGCCATGGCGTGGCGGTGGTGGGTGATGGTGCCGCGGCGTGGCGGGGATGGGGAGGAGCAGTCGCCGACGAGGTTGGAAAACTTCGAGTAGGGTTTTGGGTTTGGGACTTTTGTGTATCGTGTTCGATTGTCTTGGGCCTGTAGGAGTTCAGGCTTCAGGGAGCGAGGCCTATTGCAGTTTCGGCCCATGAAGGTAACAGAGAGATGTTGGGCTACCCTCTTGTGAGTTTGTGAGTAATGGGAACTGTCTCATGAAAGTGGGTTGGCTGGTGCTGTTTGTACGTACTTTGTACAGATGATGATGGTGCCGGTCACTGGTCACGGATCCGTGGGCCGTCTACTTTGTGCGATGGGCGGTAGCGTGAGCAGTACAGAGGCAGCTGACGTGGACCATATATCTTATCATGGGAACGCAACGATTCGTGTGAAAACGGAAAGCCGGAAAAGTCTCTCTCGACAGGGATAGCTATTAGCTGCATTAAAATTCAGAATTGACGAGTCCGTACGACGGCCTTTTTTTTGCTGGCTGTTCAGAGGTGGTACACGACGAATGTTTTTCCAAACATAAACTCGACGGTAGAATATGCCTGGTTTGGTACAATTCAGATCCACTAGTAAAATTGTTTTTTAGAAAAATAGCTTCATGAGCAACTATCCATGGAAAGCTGAGTTAGTTTGAAAAAACGGTTTGGCAAAATACCTTTACCAACAACTTCATACATGAATGAGAAATTAATGAGGAAGAGAGAGCTAGGATATACTACTTTTTTCAGCTTTATCTCAACTCATGTTTTTGTGAGAAGAGAAGAAAAACAGTTCAACCATTAAACCATTTTAAAAATAAGTGTTTGGGAAAAAAAAAACAGCTCACGACGGCTCATATAAAACTGTTGTGAGCTCGAACAGGCCCTAAATATATTTACTCTACTACTGGGAACATAGGACTGCGTCTTTACGCACGATTGGCAAATCCAACGGCACGTTTGGTGGACGGATGATGGGCTTCGATGGGTCAATTTGTGCCATTACTTAAATATAAAGAAAGAATCAGTCTAGTTAGTGTGGTAACAAACTTCCTCAATCCTCACAGTGTGGCCATGGCGATGCTTTCTCCATCTTTTTCTCGACCCGTCGCCTTTCTCAGTTACTCGTAGTCGTAGCCGGCAAATGTGAACACTCGAAAAGCCGCGGTCACTGTACCACGCCAGCAGAGCAAATCAGCAAGAGCGTCGGAACCCTGCACCGCTGCCGCTGGCCCGCTGCGCCACACGCCTTAGCGGCTTCGCGCGCACCGCGCCCAGGGCGCGTGAGGAGGAAACCGCCGTTCGCAATCGCGCCGCAGCGCACAAACCACGCCGCGCCCGTGGGCGCTCTGGCACCGGCACCAACCGCGGGTCGACATGGACAGTGCCCTGCACCCCGGGCCCTGCCTGCCTGCCGCCCGCGGAATTTCGGTCGCGGCAACCAGGTCGTACGTACCCACCGACGCGCGAGTCACAGAAAAACCGCTTCAACGCTAGCTCGCCGTCGCACCCGCCACCACCATCAGCTCTCGCGCGATCCAATCCAACGCGAACCTAGCTACTCCTTCTGTGTTTGACCGCGCCACACGCGATTACTCCTACCAAGCAGCTCCCCGAGCCCCATCCGGATTCTATTTTTAGTCACCAAACCTTCGGAGTTGAAGCCGTATATATACAGCCCCACTCGAGATCGACAAGGAGAAGCAACCAGCGTCGAGCGGAGGGAGAGACTGATCCAGACGCAAAAGGCATCCACCGCGAGTTCCAGGTCTCACCAGCCAAGAATAAATCTAGCTAGCTACAGGCTACAGCGCGAGCAAGAAGAAGTTAAGTTCCATGGAGAAGAAGCAGAAGAAGCAGCACGCGAGGTCAAGGAGCTTCACCGGCGGCGGGCTGGCCTCCTTCCTCAAGTCCACCGTCGCCTCCTTCTCCTCCACCTTCCCGTCCAGCGGCGGCGGCAGGAGGGCCTCCTTCAACCACCGCAACGCCTTCTCGGGCCCCATCGTCTCCATCGTCCCGCCGGAGGCCCGCGGCGGCAGGAGGAATAAACGGTCGTCGGGGTACGTGACGCCCGAGCCGTCGTCGCCCAAGGTGTCCTGCATCGGCCAGATCAAGCGGAGCAGCTCCAGGCGCCAGAAGAAGGTCAACCCGTGCGGCAAGAACGGCGGCGCCTGCCCGCTCCCACCGCGGCCACCGCTGGCGGAAGCGAAGCCCTGCAGGCCCCCCAAGGGCTCGCTGCTCAGGCGGATGTCGTTCTTCCGGCGCAGCAGGTCGCGTTCTCGGTCAAGTTCCAAAGATGGCCTCATCGGTAACGGGAAAGCGATGGCGGCGGCGGCGGCCCCGGCTCCAGCGGCCCCGGCGGGTCTCGGCCAGATGAGGCGGTTCACGAGCGGGCGCGCCGCGTTTCAGGACTTCGACTGGCGGGAGGAGGAGAGGAGGGGCCGTGACAGCGACGAGGAGGGCGAGGACGACGGGTTCGTCGCGCATTCCGCGCCGCTGGTGCTCGGGGGCGGGGTGGTAGCCTCGGAGCCGAGGAAGGAGGTGAACCTGTGGAGGCGTCGCCCCATGGCTCCTCCCACTCCGCTTGAGCTTCCCTAGCTAGGCTAGCGAGCTGCATGCATGTTCAGTTGTTCATTCATCTCTGTGTGCTTTCTTTAGTTTGTACATACAGCTCTACATACAGTATGTACAAACTAAAGAAAGCACAGTACACGCCTAACATAAGTGATGATCATACAAGTTTAGTTGATTTTGTAAATGTGCTGCTCTTCTTTGGAAAGGAAGTATAGACTAAAAAGAGCAATCTGTCTGCCTAGCTAGCTTGGCAATTTTTCTTCTATATAATATATATTTTTCTCATTTCGATCTGGTCTTTCATATATGAGCATTCATGCTAAGTTGGTCAATCAGGAACTTGTGAGGAGCTCAAAAATTGTGGGCATGTTTGACGACATGCATGTTGATTCCACGGAAATCCAAATGAAGTATTTGAATTTTATTATATACTGTACATGAATGTTGATCAACATTTCTGCATTGCTCTCACGGTTTGTACAATGATAGTACAACTTAGCAATGTCCGTCTGTTGCTACCATTATTTGTTGCATTTATTTCCTCCTTGAGAATAACTGCTCTCCAGTTTGAGAAGATTTGTATGTTCCTGCTTTGGTGTTAACGCCGAAACAGTCAAGATGTGTTCAACAATGGCATGTGCCCATGCCCCAGGGCCCATGTTGTTGTAAGAGGTTTTCTCTGATCACATTTAATTTTCTCTAGAATTATATTGAGGGTGGTGCTTTGAAAAGTTTGGTCAGCAGAAGTTAGCACTGAAATTAAACTACCTGCGGAGGCCAATCGAGACTAGTCGTAAAATTAATGATGCAGCACTGGTTCAACTCATGTGCTCTGAAAAATACTGAACGAATCCAGGTTTGATTCAATACTACTAGTAGTATAATACTCGTCTATGAATTGAGGTTTCAATGGTAACTGCAGTGTTTTCATGCATGATATATCTAGTTCAATTTTTATATGCGTGACGTGCCAAGTTTTATTTTAAGCGCTAATGATCAGTAAGTACGTAGGACATTTGTGCTCCCAATAGTTTGGAAATACTTCGTTTTGGTCAACAACATAATCTCTAAAACATAGTAATTTTGATCGCTATTTTTTATTAGAATACGAATGCCCTAGCATTTTATGAAGATACATTTAAAGACAGATCTATGCGTACGTACATGTGACCAACATGCTCCTAAAATAAACTTCAAAAGGTTTTGGCAATCAAAGTTTTTGAAGTTTGAAACAAACTTGGTCAAAACGGCAAGAATTAGCAAACCGGAGGGGGTATGGAGTGATAATGATCCATATGCCTCTACTGACTACCCACATCGAGTAAAAAGAAAGGAAAAGAAAAAGACGCCATTCATGTTTGCCTAGTCGTCACATGCATTTAACACGTTCCGTGCATGTTCGCTCGACGTAGTATGAAAGGAACGAAAAAAGTGGGTATGGTATTTTGATGACGCAAACGGTGGGCCAGCGTCGAGAAAAGTTAAACAGCAAACCATGGGCCGGAAGCCTGGGCCTATCTAGAAACCTAATCTTGATTCTCCCCCAAAAAAAAAAATCTAGAAACCTAATCTTGCTACCCAAGTGGCCAACTTTTTCCTGAAACCCCGCACAAGGCCCCTCTTTTTGTCCGTTGCCACGTGCTTCAGGTTGTTCAAACTTCAAAGCATGTCTTCTTCGAAACAAAATCGACAATTTGACTGCAGCATGACTATTATGTTGCCCAATACCAAGGTTATCTTGAGGATGCCAATTAACAAGTATGTCTTCCAGTCCGTATAATGTTTCTTTTTCTTAGCTTTTCATGTACGTACTTCTTTTGGGCACAAATCAAACTGGCTCCTGAACTCCTAGATGAGCTGTGGACTGTGGAGCCAATCTATTTGCAACACAACTTTCATGCCAAACGGAACCAGCGGTTTCGCTAGGAGGAGGAATGAAAATGACATCAGACGCATCTTTTACGCCTAGTTCTACTTCTATCTGTAAGTGTCAGCATTTTGTAAAAGAGCTGGCCTTTCGCTCTCGCAATAGCAGGGAGCGCGGCTATGTAGCCGTGCGACGCTGCCATTTCACCTGTACATTGGCGAGTCCGAGCTCGTCATCATTTACGACGACAATCACCCCTGTTCACTCGTTGATTTCAAATAATTTCCAAACCACCGCCAAATAGAACAATATTTTCCTCTCACAATAAATCAAAGATTAGCCAGTCCAAACCAACCCGAAAAACCAAATGAATGGCCGAATAACCTATTGGCGCCTGGCCGGCTGGTCGCACATAGGGTTGGGCACTTGGGCGTCGACGAGGCCGACATGGCGACATCCGATAGGCACCACGCTGGCCGGATGGATATGCTACCTCGGTCAAGAAATGGATTGAGGATATCTTACGCAAACCAGAGGGGTTACCGTCTGGTAATGGAGGATCGAGCCCCAACCCTTTGTAACTAGGGAGTTAGCCCAATCCTTATCCGGTAAAGTCCAATTTACAACCTTCAACTCTCGCCAAAGTGCGGATTTCAACGTCGAACTCCAAAACCGGATAACTTTGGCCATCGAACTCTTGAAACCGTTCACTTTTCAACCCTGGGCCGGTTTCGGGCGGTTTTGTCGGATGAACAGTAACTTTTGATATTTTCGGGAGGCGTCGAATTTTTATATTATTTTTTGAGCATCTTAACGTTCTTAAATGAAAAAAAAACTCAAAACTACAAAGTTGTAGATCTCATTGAGAGCTACAACTTTGGTATAAAAAGTATTTTCATTTTACTCCATACAAATAAATATATTAGTGCTCTAATCGCAACGCGCTAGTAAAACAATACTTATTATGGTGAGACTCAAATTTTATAAAAATTTTTCAAACCCTTCTTCTACGATCCTGGAATGAAGATAATTAAAACTATAAATTGTAGATCTCATGAGATCTACAACTTTATAGTTTTAATTTTTTTTTCATTTAAGGACATATTGAAAGATGCTCTAAAAATAATATAAAATTTCAGTCATTATAATAATCGCTTAATAGCGCTTGCCGCATTAGAGCAGTAATATATTATTTGTATGGAGTTAAATGAAAATACTTTTTATACCAAAGTTGTAGCTCTCAATGAGATCTACAACTTTGTAGTTTTGAGTTTTTTCATTTGATTTGAGGAAGTTAAGATACTAAAAAATATAAAATTTCGACGCCCCGAAAAATATCAAAAGTTACTGTTTATCCACCAAAACCGTCCGAAACCGGCTCCAGGGTTGAAAAGTGAATGGTTTCAAGAGTTCGAGGGCCAAAGTTATCCGGTTTTGAGTTCGAGATTGAAATCCGGACTTTGACGAGAGTTGAATGTTATAAATTGGACTTTACCCATCCTTATCTAACCTCAACTGATTTGCTACACCCAATCAAATGAACCCAATCCTTAAACGATCTTTTCGAACCCACGGGCCGATTCGTTTATGACCAAACCAGCAGAATCCACGGGCTGTTGTAATATTTCCAGAAAGCAAGCATAGCTTCCACGGTTCCAACAGACAAACAACACTAGTTACATGACAGACGGTTCCACCAGAGACCAGACAGACAACACTAGTTGCATGACAGACAGCTCCATGTAGAAAATAAAGAAATTACATCCATTTCGGTTAAAATGGAATCATCCACCAAGTTCTATATATTGAAATAGAAAATCACATTATAAATAAACTTTACAGTATAGAGACAAAGAAGCTAAGTGTAAAAATAAACAAAATTTTGATTTTTGATACTGAATACTCATGTTGCAAGTTTTCTAAATGGAACCGAGACAACTGCCCTACCTTAGACTCACCCCTTTGTTAGAAAAGAAACTGGCAGGCGTTCTGCCAGGCGCGCGCGCGCGCGTATATATATATATATATAGGAGATGGCAAAAAAAATTGCTCAAAAGACCCCTACAGTATACAGGAAAAACTGAAGTTTCCAGCCAAACTAAATCGCACACGATGTAGCAGCAGAAACATAAGTTTGGAAGGTAAAAGAGACAAAATAGTTGTTGGAGATTCTTAGGCCTGCGGGTCAGCCTAGATAAAAGAATAGCTAACACACTAGCAGCCTACACTATAATACAAATTGACTATTCCCCCAAAAAAATGCAATGTGTCAAAAAAAAATGCAATGGTGATGCCGCAGACAATAAAATTCATGAAGTATACACTTCTGAACGAAGCAGAGCAAACAGTAGAATGAATGGTCAATAAGGGCAAGCTATACTAAAATACTTACTATGCCCTTGTTTGTTGCGTGGATCATTAAACAATTAACTCAGACCGGAGGAAGTAATGCAGAACTAAAAAGAACTCAGGCACAAAGCTCCATTTTTGCCCAGAAACTATAAATTGTGGAGAAGGAATGCTAATGTATGAGAAGGCATGATGAATATCAACTAAACTCTGAATTTAGCTCCCCATCTTTACTTATTTGTCAAATACATATCCTGGAGTCCAAAACGTCTTCTGTAGCTGCAACCACAGAATGCATATCAAATCATAAATTTGTGTTAGCAGCTTAGTGGTGTCAAGCCTGAAAAAGGTGGCTTGGTAGTTGATAACTAAACAGAGAATACTTTCTAAAAACATCAAGGAATACATGATGTTATCAGGACACTGTTTTTCCTCGTTGAGATAACTGCAGTTGGATGCAGTAGAACACAGCCTGTTGGAGATCCATGATGCAGTCAGAGAAATGTAAACAATAATTTCTCTTAACAAGCTCGTAAAAAAGCTTAGCAAACATCTGTAGTATTGAAAAAGGTACTGCCAGCATCTGGGCCTGGTTTAGATTGCAAGTTTTTTCACTCTCTCCATCACATCAAATCTTTGGACACGTGTATAGAGTATTAAATATAGATAAAAAAATAACTAATTACACAGTTTGATTGTAAATTACGAGACGAATCTTTTGAGCCTAATTAGACCATGATTGAACAATAATTGTCAAATACAAACGAAAGTGCTACAGTGCTAAATACTGATTCCTAACGCTCATCTA